TTTTTGGTCACACTGCTGCTCTGGAAAATGGAGGAGGGACTGAAAATAATAAACAGTGATTTAAGCGAGATTCTATCCAAATTGCTTAAGTCCAATGCAAAATRCAAGAATGATGACTTGCAGCACCGCAGAACTAAAATCGCGACGCTGATACGGCTGCATGTGCGACACTTGCAGCAGATCGTCATCATGCATCGCCGACGTCGCCAGCAACGCGCACGACGTCGCCTCAAAAATCTGCGCTCCTTCTTCATGCAACAAATGATGCAGCTGCAGTCCAATTATGTTCAAATGTTCGTCACGCTGCGTATGAAGTACAACCAGCTGCAGAGTGCCGAGGAAATGGAGGCTGATATAGAGAACAGCATGTCTGACAATCTGGAAACCAAAACAGACGCCCCGACGCTCTTTTGGGAGCATAAAGTACCGAAATATACCGATGAGCAGTTTCTCGATAGCTTCCACGTGACACGCAGCACATTCCAGTCGCTTTGCGGCCAATTGGCGCCCACGCTGCGTTCGGTGCCCGAGCTGAAATCGCAATCGGAAGTGATTCCACCCGACAAATGTGTTGGTCTAGCGCTCTTCTTCCTGGCYAGCGGCGAGCGCATTTCGATTATCTCGGAACAGTTTGCTCTGCCTCGCGCCCGCACCATCAAATGCTTGAAGGTCTTTTGCAACGCCGTGATGACCAGCCTGGGCAAGGCGCTGCGCTTGCTGCCCCAGAGCGAGGCGGATTGCGCCAATGTTGTGGCCGGCTTCAGGCGGGAGTGCAACATGCCGCCAGCACTGCTTGGTGTGCTGGGAGTCTGCTCCATTCCGTTGCGCGGCAAAGGGAAACGGACTGAAGCTGGTTCGGCATTACGCATGGAGTTCCTGCTAGACGATCGCATGCTCTTCCGTGAGCTGCGTCTGGATAACGCCAATGGTAGTGGCAAGCAGCCTCTTCCGCCCATGTTCGCGGTGGCACCGAATGCATTGACCCAGTCACCCGCCCATCGTATCAATCAACGCTCGGTGCCCGCCTTTGTGCTGGCRCCAGCCAATCAAAACTATCCGCTTCGGCCCTGGCTGCTACAACGCTACGCCGAACCGGCAGCACCTCACGAATACGACTTTAACGAAGTGGCCGATCACCTCCAAGAGCTGAGCGACTCTGCCATGCATCGCCTCATGTCGCGCTGGCGCTTCCTCAGCCAGCCTTTAGACATTAGCTTCCAGACCGCCTCCTGCATAATCACAGCCGCAACCGTCCTTCACAATCTGCTAGAGGAGCTGAGCGAACCGCACATTCCCGAGTGGGGCAACTCGGTGAACGTATTGAGATTCAAAGCACCTCCAATCGAGTCGAAAATAGACAATTCTCCGCAAGCGGAGCTGGCGCGCGACCTGCGGGACTTCCTAGCCAGAACCATTAGTTCCACAGAAATGTAAATAAAGACTAGACTAAAATATATACTAACGAATAAGTTTGGATTTGAAATACACATTCAATTTGTTTTACATTCATCAAATGTACATTTTAATTGTTGTAAAAGATATTGGCTTTACAAAAATTTAGTATAGACGCTGGGGTGGGCCCATGGAGGACTTGATGTGCAGGGAGCGCACGTTCTGCCAGTTCTTCTTGAGCAGCGAGACCAAGAAATTGATCGACAAGCTAACGTTCTGGGTGAGCTCATCCTGCTTCATGCCCACGTGTCCAACGGCGACAGACAGACACAGCACCTTCTTCATCTGGAATTTGATGGTGGACTTGACCTCCTCKATCTTGGCCATCATTGATTCCTGATGAGACAGCAGGGCAGGGAACTTGCCAGCCTTGTTGAGGCCGGGACCCAAGAGACGGGGAATCTGCTTGATCAGCGACTCGGAGGCAAGGAAAGCATCATAGGACTTGGCCAGTTTCTTCACCAGCTTCTTGTTCTTGTTCAGCTTCTTGAGTGCCTCAGCATCCATGAACTCAACGCCGTTGGCCTTGGCTTCATCGCAATGCTGCTGATCGCCCAGAATGCACACCTTCATCTTGGGACGTGGGATGTGCTTCAATCTGCAAGATGAGTAAAGAGAAACGATTAGGAAGAGCACTTTATACGATTTAGTTAGAGACGGCAAATGTGCTCAATTTTCATTTAAACAAAAAACTTACGCAGCTCGCAGAGGAGCAGGACAGTTTATTATCTATTAAACTAGGAAAACGGCAACCATTGCTGGCGCCTACTCAATTAGATTTAAAGACCCTGAGTGCAGGTCCGCCGCAATGTATGTGAAAGAGAACATATACATGCGACTACCTGACGCTGAAGCCTTCCAGATTTTGATTTGGTTAGCAGCACAGGTGATTTTAGCCAACGTACTTAACAGTGCCAGAGAAACGCTTGTCCTTTTGGGGATCGTAGTTCTTCAGACCAATCTGGAGTTCCACCGTCTCCAGGAATTTGCGCTTCTTCTTCAACGAATGTTCAAGAACTCCATTGACGCCCTCAAGGAGCGTGTCACGCGACACCTTTGTTCTGCAATGGAAATTTCAGTTAGATCAGCTATACAATACASAATTKTATGTAAAAGTAATGTATAAGCATTGTGCAAATTCTTGTCACTTGCATGRATAGTCACATATTTGGCACAAAATCTCAATTTTATTATTGCAATCATTTCCAAACTGATGTGGTCATTGAATGTGGTCCAAAAAGCTGGTTTCTGATTGCAGAACACAATAAATATATTGTAGAATTTATAAAGCAGCAGATAATTTATCATTATGCTG